GGTAGACACTAACTGCTTATAACGATCCCCGTCAAGGTTTTCGCTCGCACTTTTCGCTCGCACTTTTCAGCTTTCTGTATCAATACGACAAACCACTATGCCATCCAAGTGCATAAGTTGTAGCAAACGCGTCACCTCCCGCTTAAAAGCTGTTCAGTGCGTTCTGTGTGAAGCGTGGCTGCACACTTCGTGCTGTAACATCGACGACGCCCTATATGAATGCCTTCAAAGCACTGCCTCTGAGTTCGTGCGCTCACGTTGTGACTCGTGTTGAGTAATAGTGATGACAAACGCCTTCTGGCTAACCATCGTCCTCTCAGTATATGCATCCCTGTCGCCCTGGCCATTTACAATACAACATCCATTCCCCTACCTGCACCTGGGTCTGCTACCCCCAAACCAAATCGAACTGGCACCCTCTCCGCTACGTCGGGCGCGTCATTCCCCTACAGTAAGATGATGTGTCGACCGGAAAATAAGCCCGATGTATGCTGCCGTGGCGAGCGCCACCGCTCCAACAACCACCAGCCTGTGCAAAGCTGAAAGCACGCCCACAAGAAAGCCGGTCTCTAAGCCCATGGCGAAATCCTACACCTCTGATAACTCTTCCATAGTGAAGGGAAATTTGACCCGACCTGAATCGGTCGAAGCCCAGCCACAAATGCTGCCAGTTTGAATCCCAAACCCGGAGATAAACCTAATTCTAAACTCTCAGCATCTCAGTCGCTAATGAAGCTAGTTCTCAATAGACTTTCTGAGCTAGAGCAAGTGATCAAGGGAAATCCGTCCTCTCGCAGTCCGCAGATCTCTGGGCGCACTCCACCTTTTCTGGACCGTTGCCTCCTCCTTATAAACGCAGCCGAATCGAAGAAAGCCACCCAGCGGAACGAATTCTGGATTACCGAATACTCTTCCAGCGCTTGGTCGTTTTGTTATTTGCTGAAGGGGAACAGGGGATTAACATCGTCCCTGCATTCCGGATTGGCAGGAAGCAAGAGCATCCACCCAAACTTTGTCCCCTCAAAGTCATGTGTCAGGCGGAAGAGGAATGCTGACGTATTCTGTGACGGTCCTCGGGTCTCAAAGGTGAACCATATTACGTACCACGTGGTCTTTTGCTAGAGGATCGGATAAAAATGAAGAAGGCTGTTGAGGAGCTACTAACACGCAGAGGAAACAGTGAAACTGACCTTCGTATTGTGGATTTTTGCGTGGTTCGTAACACACTGAGAGCCCGTTGGAGACCCATTCTTCTCATCCAGGGACAATAAAGCACACAAATGGACTATGCGTATTAATCGCCAATGTGTGCAGTCTGAAGAGTAAATTGGATGAGATTCAGTTGATTATCTTAGAGGCTGGTCCAGACCTAATGGCCTTCACTGATACTTGGCTAGTCACCGACATCACGGATTCAGATGTGTCTACCCCCGGTTACCACCTCTCCCGATCCGATCGACAAGGAGGGAGGTCCTGCGGTGGCGTAATGGTTTTTGGAAGACTCATATCAAAGTGTACGTAGTTGAAGCGATCAGTGACAACGCCAAAGAGTTTGCTGCCCTCTTGTGTCGTGTTCATGATGGACGGAGTTCTCTCACATTTGGTGTCGTCTACAGAGCGCCTTCGAGATCCGGAACCCGCTTCGTGGGCTCGATCAGGAAGCATGGTGAACGAAAGGATCGCCTTATCGTTGAGGATTGCAATGCTCATGCTGTGACTGGAACCTGTTGCTTTCTGACCGACCTACAGAGTCCTTCAAGGCCAACTTACTGGAGACCATTAATCCTTGTAATTTGCTCCAACACGTCACTATACCAAGTCGTATTCCTCCAGATCAGACGCCGCATATCCTGGATCTCGTGCTCTCCCCAACACAATCAGACCTCACAAACCTTTCAGTTCTACAGCCCATTGACAGCAGTGGTCACTGTACTGTCAAATTGCAGTGGTCAAGTCGCTTCGATGTTCACAGCCAACGTGCCAAACGTCGGAATTTCTGGCGTGCCGATACACTGCGCCTGAAAACGGCCGCATGCATTGTCGATTGGAGTATCCCTGAACAAACCAACGTTGACGAAGCGTGGCATCACTTGTACTCCAAGCTGACGTTACTCATTGAACAGGTCATCCACTTCTCCAAAAGAAGACCCTTCTCCAAAGGCCCTCCATGGATCGATGGCGATTTGAGCTCATTGCTGAAAAGAAGGCGTAAACTATGGGAGCGTTTTAGTAGTGCGCTAGTTGAGCTTGACTATTGCCAATACAAAACGGTCAGGAATGCTTGCAACATAAAAAGCGAAAAAGCCAAAAATACGAGCTGTCATTAGCTGCACTTTTTAGTACAAACTCCAAGGCGCTCTTCCCATACATCAAACGAAGCACTAAAGCTGGAAGTGGTGTCCCTGTCTTATCTCCCTGTGAGCATTTGGACCTAGTCTATGAAGACTTTGAGAAAGCTAGCCTTCTGGCCCAGCAATATTCCTCTCTATACTCGACCGAAACTCCACTCCCAGATTGCGTTACACCCACTCCCCCTTCCATGCTGGCGCACGTGAATGTTACCACTGACGTCGTAATGAGGCTTCTACTTGACCTAGACCCGTATTCCTCGCCTGGTCCCGATGGTTTACACCCATATTTCCTTAAGACCTTGACCGTACGCATTGCCGCTCCTGTCTGTCAAAATTTCCATCGTTCCCTTGAGGTCGAGCGGCTTCCAGCTGCTTGGAAGGTGGGGATTGTTAAACCCATTGACAAATGAGGGAACCGACAGAATCCAGCTAGCTTTCGTCCCATCTGTCTGAATTCGATTTTGTGCCAAGTCATGGAATGGATTCTGAAACGGGACCTTCGCCCATAACTCGACGACAGGGCGTTCGTATCTCATGCCCAACATGGTTTCCGAAGGGCGCGTTTACCCGCCACAAATTTGCTGGTAACTAGGGAAAAATGGGCAAGATCCTTAGATGCCGGTAAGCGTCTGGATGCGGTGTTTGTCGATTTCAGTAAGGCTTTTGACAAGGTCCCACATGAGCGGCCCCACTTCAAACTCCGGAAAATCGGATTCACTAGCAATCTTCTTTCTTGGGTCTCCGATTTTCTGGACGGTCGCTTCATGCAGGTTAAAGTTAACGGAGCGCTTTCTGATCAACTTCTTATGACCAGGGGTCCACCAGGGTTCTGTACTCGGCCCCGAACGCTTCAATATCTTCATCAACGACCTGCCTTCTGAAATTCAGACCGACTGCTTAATCTATGCGGATGATCTGGAGCTGTGGATTGAGGTATCCAGTCTAGAAGATACAGACAGACTTCAAGCGACAGTCGTTCAGCTCCACGATATGTCACTAAAGTGGCAGTTGCCCATTAACCTTGACAATTGCACTGTCCTTCCAATCGGAGCTCCTGAGCATTTTATGGATTACCATATCTAAGTTTCTTGCTCAGAAATGTAAACCAAGAGAGGGATCTAGAGGGGATTGTGTCTCCTGATCTCAAATCAACCGAGAACACCTGAAAGAGGGTCGCATACGCCTACCGAATACTTCACACTATACGGAGAGTCCTTTCTCGCCTGACCCCAGTACTATTCAGACTACTGTTTGCTGCACACGTACGCAGTTCTCAAGTACGGATTGCCCGCTGCGTACCCGAACACTAAGTCCGAACGTGACACAATCGAGAAGGTTCAACGGCGTGGATCCAAATCCGTTCCAGAGCTGCGGGACTTATCCTACCTCCTACGGCTTCAACGGTTGAACCTGTTCGCTTTGCTTTATCGTCGTCGCCGCGGAGAAATGATATTTATTCGGCGTATTCTACGAGGTGAGCTGGGGAGTGAGCTGCAATCGTGCTTTTGTCTAAACACAAGTTGCGCAACTCGAGGCCACTGGTGGAAGCTTTTCCAACCGCGGCGACTCCGTGTACCGTCCGATTTGGCCCTATCCACCCGGGTATTGAATGACTGGAACAGCTTACCGGGGTCTGTCGTCGATGCGGAGACGGGGGAATATTTCAAACGACGGTTGGATACCCAACCTCTGAGGACGCAGGAATGCTGCCGCCCACAATACAACCATAGCGATCATCTGCTGAACCTTGTTCCGCAATGATCCCAGCAGCTCTCGCAATGTTTGGGAAGTGGCGGAGCTGACGAAGGAACATCCTTCTGCCCTCTACTAACCAATGAACCAATACCATTTGAATCAACCTGTTTCCTCGGACCCGAATAAACTTCGACCATAGCCAACCATTATTACGTGGTTATTCAAACCATGTTTCACATATCTTAACAAAATTAAATTTCTCCGTATTGTACTCCAAAATTTATAGGTACCGCACCAACCATATTTGGGTGCAGTGCGAAGCAGTGGCACTACAAGGATATTGCAAATGACTTAGTTTTACTACATGAATGGCAATGTTTATTTGGTTCTCCAATGCACCCATGGAAAGCAGGTGTAAAATTCAGCAACGATTTCGATCGGGAAAAGGCAGTTTATTTTCACCGAATATAGAGATTGCCGAAGACCAGCAACAACCACCTAAGACCCTTAGACTAAAATAGTATTTTTCTACAAGGGAAAGATGTCGTGATGAATATCAAGGTTTTTCTTAAACTGATGGCCAACAAGCAGCGCATAATTTGCTTGACACGTGACCTATGCGGATAGGCAGGTTATGATCGGACCCGCGAAACTCATAACTTTGGAGCCCAACGTATGACTGCAAGGTAGAAGGGTTAGAGTCCTGAGATTATGATTTAAACCTAACTAGTATATTTCCTGGAATAAACCTGCTGGATTTATGCATATCTTTTTATAAGACTTAATAGTAGTAATTTACCATCTTCATGCGTTATCCCTGTATCTTATGAATTAGTATATTAATATAGAGAATTGATTTCTATTAAGCATAATATGCGTACGGATTATAAAATCCATCTGCATTGACCAAATAAACTGTGCGTACTTATATGCCTATTTCAAGCAACGCCATCCCTGAATAAGAAAGGATGCACATTGTTTCACGTTGTAAATAAGTCTATAACCCATTTTTCAAATATAACACGTACAAAACTAAACACATGACATTTATTCATCGTTTGCATCCTAAGAATAGCTTTCCAGTTTCTTTAACCTCCCACATACCTTATTCGCAGCTACCATTTCTGCACTTTCAACCGGTTCACTCTACGCCGACTTTCGGGATGGGGTTTCAAAAGAAGGTTGGTTACGATTGTTTTTCTTATCTCTAGGCCATTATCATCGACGCAAAAGACCATTTACTTGGGCGGCTTGCGTCGATTGTCGCAAAAACTTTACTGCAAGGGCAGAAGGTCGTTGTCGTTCGCTGCGAGGGGATAAATATTTCTGGCTCGTTTTACAGGAACAAACGTGAGGATCACTATGCATATCCAACTTCGATTTGTAGTTAAGTACCTGGACTTTTTGCGCAAACGTATGAGTACCAATCCTTCTCGAGGTCCTTATCATTTTCGTGCTCCCGCAAAGATTTTCTGGCGCACTGTCCGTGGAATGCTTCCGCACAAGCTTCATCGTGGTAAAGAAGCCCTTGATCGCCTTAAAGTGTTTGAGGGTGTTCCCCCACCCTATGACAAGAAGAAGAGAATGGTCGTGCCGTCTGCGATGCGTGTAATGCGTCTGAAGCAGCGCCGGAAGGTTTGCTTACCTTGTTCTATAATATTCGGCTTAGTTTTGTGTTTTGTCCCGCCTATCCCATGAGGTTGGTTGGAAATACAAGAATGTCATTGAAAAAATGGAGAATAGGCGCAAAGCAAAGGCTGCTGTTTGGTACAAAAAGCAGAAGTTGCACCAGAAGTCTCTGGAAACTGCCAGGGGACGAGCACGTGAGGCTATCGCACCTTACCAAGCCATCCTAAAACAGTATGGTTACAGTTAGCAGAAATAAAACGTGCATTCATTGCTTTGGTTTTTGCTTCGTTCTGTTTTTCAGACAGTTTTTTACTTTTTAGCTCAAGTTTCAACTAATGAATCGTGCCCATGTTCGAATAAAGTCCAATTAGGCAAGAGAGCTCTTCAGTAATTCTCATCAGGCCATTACAATTATGAGAAAAGAACAAACAACGCAGTATGTTAATAAAGTTGGATTAAGGACTTCTGCTGTGTCAACGATACCGGTATGTTAGATGTTTAGGCCGATCAGCGACGTAGGCTACGCAACCGACGTTACGCTGTTAGTGTTGGATATCAATCAAAGGCCGCGGGACCAAGTTAACAAGTGGGCTTGCACTAGGGCTTTTTGTTTGCAGAACTCAGGCTGGATCAGCATAATCGCGATCGCCTCGGTCGTCTTTAATTGGCGTCTTGGTGACGCAGCGGCACGGAGTAGAAAACTATGTACGCGTCTTCTATGCAAATTTCATATCCACTCAGGATTAAATGATCCATGATAGCGTTATTGATGCTTCTAGGCAAGGCTCTTTGTAACGACTTTGCAGTGTTCTGATACCAGTTTCCACAAACACCTGGTCGTGCGTCCGATATGTAAGTAAATTGATACAGAAGGTATGATTTGGACTAGACTTTGAACCTGTGCTTCAAATGTTGTGTTGCAACTGGAGCAGTCTGCGCGAGCACACGTGGGATGGCGGCTGGGTAAGTTTTGGCCACTGCGCTTGAAAGTCTTCTCTTCAGTAAGTAAAAAGCGGCATCCCCTTTAAAGATAACAGAAATACGTATTTTTTTGGTACATTTATCGTAGTTCCCAGACGCAACCGGATCGTAGCGTGCTTTTTGATAAACGGAACGGGTATCCATTCTCTTTCCGGTTTTCGCTGTGTAGTCTACTTAGTTTCCTGATGCTTTTTACCTACTTCACTATTTTCGGGAGTATACGCTGTTCGTTACGGGTACTTAGAATAATTTTATTTCTTGTCATTAAAGTTCTCGCACTAACTTTCCATTCTAGGCCAAAGCACCATTTCACCGTTGTGCGCTGACAGCTGCACCATATTTTCTGTTGAGGTTACCAGGGCCATTTGCCACATCCTTGACGTGCTCACACCTGGCTCATTAGTTGTCTCCGCTCTAGCCATTCTCCAGCCTCTTGCCAAATATAAACTTCGTCCTGCATTGGGTCTCGGGCAGATTATCAATGGTCGCTTTATGTGCTGCATACAGCAGGGTTGATAAGCGAAAACATGCCGCTGCTGGCGCCTCCCTTCGTTTTTTCCCCATCTTTTTCTCTTACTTCCATCCCGACCCCCACCACTAAACTTCCTTTTATAATTCCCAGCTTAATTGACAGCAACCGAAGTGCCAATGGAGTAGAACCAACTGCAGCCACAATCCCACAGCGTCTATCGGCAATAGTCCCTTATAAGGCCACACTATCCCGTTTCCACGGCGACACTCAAGATTCGCACTCCAAGACAAACAGGTCAACAGGTTACACTCACATGAACCTTGGACACACTAGGTATTGATGTGTGTTGTGTCCGAAACTAGGCTCAATGACCCTAATGGGGTTGTTGAATTAACTGCACTCGGCTTGTCATCTCGTTAGTTGCACGCATCCGGAGACGCCGATGCAGCATTCACAGGTCAAGCTGGGGTAGGTATCATTCTAAGCTCCAAGGCTGAGCCATTGTTGGTTGATTGCATTCCGGTGAATAGCCTTTTATGTGCAACCCCTTTGACGACATCAGCTAAGGTGGATTCACGAAGCAATGCATAACGCTGTTTGTGATTTCCGCTTATGCTCCCACCTACTGCACTTCAAATGCTGTCAAGGACACATTCTATCACCAACTGAACGCGCTATTACGCAGTGCTACTATTTCAGATATTATAATACTTGCAGGGGATATGAACGCACAAGTAGGGCCTCCGAGTTCTTCAGAAGCTCAGCTGGGTGTTAATTATGGGCTTAACTCCGGACGGACTGACAACGGTGAGCAACTACTGCAACTGTACGCAGAGCACTAGCTGTTTTAGTAGCACCGCTTTTAGACAGTGGGCGCCGAAGTGTTACTTGGCGTCCTGTAGCTGACCAGTGATGGACCCAAATTGACCACAGCCAAGTTATGGATGGCGTGGTCCCATCCTGGATTGCCACTCGTACTGGAAAACCTGCGTCTACTCTGATCATGCCTTGGTACGCTGTCGTTTTGGCATGAAATTTGTCGAGAGGCAAAGCAGTCGTCCACCTGATTGGCAACTGAGAAATTGGTGTGCCATACTGATCGAGCTTTTTAGGTGAAATATCGCGAAGCCCAGTGTTTGACGAAACACTCGTGACAGAATTTAACGATTGTCAAGTGATTATGTCTAACTCACAATGTTTGCATTGTGCGAAAGTGGCGACTAAGGGTATCCAGTGCATTGCCTGCAAACTCGGCAGGTGGCCAAAAGCGTTGCTAGCAACTTACTGAACCGCTCGTCAAGACCTATGCTGAGCACAAGGGTTTGCTATGTATTTACCGATATTGCATCCATGCTGCTGCGTTGGCAAAACGTCCGCCACATCAACATCATGAAAGACGTTCTTCCGCTCCTTCTGCTAAGCGTGCCAGAAAGTGGAGCAACACATCTTCCAGCGACGCTCCAAAAGTCGCGGCCACCCCCGCCCGTCTACTTCTCACTCGGATCCATTTACACACTTCCGGCCTGTTGAGCCTTCGACGAAGTCATATGCGGCCGTAGTGAAGGAGAAAGCGACCTTGGCCTCGTGTGGCCAAGGTCCAGCCACATGTGTCACCAAGGCTAAGACTAAGTTTTTTAATAAACCTGATCTTCCATCCTCTCAATCACAAATGAAGGTACTCCTCAACAGAATTTCTGAGCTGGAAAGTGATAAGGGAAAATCCTTCATCCCGTAAGCCACCAATCCCAGAGCGCATTCAGCCATCTCGTGACCGCTGTCTCATCATCGTGGACGCAGTGGAATCGGACAACGCTACCTCGGCGGAGCGAATGTTGCATGATCAGATACTGCTCGAGCGAATGATTTCTATACTGTTTGATGCAGGCGAACAAGGAATAAACATTGTCTCTGCCTTCCGGCTCGGTAAGAAGCAGGAAAATTCATCCAAGGTTCGACCCCTCAAGGTTGTGTGCGGAAACGAAGAAGAGTGCGCGCACATCCTTCGACAGACTCCACGTCTCAAAGGTGAACCTTTCCACGTGTTACGAGACCTCTCTCCCGAGGACCGAATTAAAATGAAGAAGGCTGTAGATGTGCTCCGAACGCGCCGGGCGAGTGGTGAAGCCGACCTATATATCGTTGATTTTTGCGTAGTTCGGAAGAGCACAAGAGTGCGCTGGAGGCCGATTCTTGTCACCCCCAGACAGTAAAGCCTAAAAACGGACTACGCGTGCTATCTGCCAATGTACACAGTCTAAGGAATAAACTGGATGAAATTCAGTTGCTTACTTCGGATACTTGTCCAGATCTGATGGCGTTCATCGAAGCCTGGCTATTTTCAGATATCACTTACTCGGAAGTGTCTATCCCTGGATATCACTACTCCCGGTCCGATCGCCACGGAGTGAGGTCAGGGGGTGGAGTAATTCTCTACTCCGGCAAACGCTTGGACGTTGTGTTTGTTGACTTCAGCAAAGCTTTTGACAAAGTCCCGCATGAACGGCTTCAGTTTAAGCTCCAAGGAATCGATATTTCCGGGAACTTCCTGTCTTGGATCTCCGACTTCCTAAACGACCGCTCTATGCAAGTGAAGGTGAATGACACATTTTCTGCTCCTGTACTCATGACGAGTGGGGTCCCACAGGGCTCTGTCCTCGGTCCCGCACTTTTCACTATCTTCAGCGACGACTTACCGTCCACTCTTGACGGATTGCCTAATCTACGCTGACGACCTAAAGCTATGGATGGAAGTATCAAGCCTTGAAGATGCGGACAGATTACAAACTACGCTCGACCTATATGATTGGTCGATTAAGTGGCAGTTGCTCGTAAATCGTGTTAAATGCTTTGTTTTCCCCATTGGCTCATCTAACCCATTTGGAACTTACCACATTGGTGGGTCCTTGCTCAGAAGCGCAACCCAAGAGAGGCATCTTAGAGTGATAATGTCATCAGACCTCAAATCTATTCAAGACACCCAGAAGAAGGTCGCCGCGGCCTACAAGATGTTCCATTCTATACGTAGAGGGTTTTCTCTCCTGACCCCGGGACTTTTCCGACTCCTCTTTGGCTCGCATGTACGCCCGATTCTCGAATACGGGCTACCCACCACCTACCCTCACCAAATCCGAATGTGGTATGATAGAGAAGGTTCAGCGGCGTGGATCCAAATCCGTCCCTGAGTTGCGAGACCAGTCGTATCCACACCGACTTCAACGACTGGACTTGTTCTCTCTAAGTTACCGCCGTCACCGAGATTCAATATTCACACGACGTATTCTCAGAGGAAAACTAGGTTGCGAGTTACAGGACTTCTTTCCACTCAACACAGAGTTCGACACGAGGCCACCGCATGAAACTGTTCAAACCTAGAAATCTCCGTGTGCGGCTCGATTTGGAACCGGTTGCCGGATCCATGTTGTTGATGCTGAGACAGAGAACGTTTCAAACAACTGTTGGATTCTCACCTGAGCGCGCTGGGATTCTGCTGCCTCTAAGACAGCTACAGTGGTCCTCTGCAGAACCTACTGCCGCAATGACCCACGCCATCTCCGCAATGATCGGGAAGTGAAGGAGCTGACAAAGGATCTTCCTTCTGCTCTCTAGCATCCAATGATACAGTGAATTGTCTCAGCCCTCGGTCAGGTAAGCCTATCAAGACACAATGCGTACCGAACTTTCGCTGTCTTGTTCTAGTCACACTGAGCTTCAGTGGAATAGGATCTCGGCCACTATGCACGACGCAGGAGCATCTGCTTGTGGCACTATCCATCGTCACCAGTCACTTGATATCCGAGAGGTCGGTGAACCTGTTGGAAGCTAGATG